CCCCTCCACCCCCTACCCCCCTCCACATCCTCTCTTATTACAATGTCGCTTTGTGGTGGATGCGTTTGTCTAGTATTGTCTCTTTACGCTGATACCCTTAACATTTTGTCGAAGGTTGTAGGTCAAGTAAGTAAAGCCACCTCACTATTCTTCTATCGAGTTTAAGCTTGTTTAATTCCGTTGTTTTGAGTAGCATATCCAGTTCAAGCAGCAGTGAAGATTCGATAAAAGGCCCCAAACTTCCTGATACGGATTACTCTCCATATGTTACTCTAACCAAACCTAATCAGTGGCACAGAAGTAAGACCGTCAGAGATACCTCCAAGGAACTTACAGTGTCAAACGGACACGTCAAAAGAGAAAACCATGTTAAGAGTTCAAAAGATACCCACGAAACAATAGAGGTAAATGTACGCTCAAAGTTCTTTACTTATCCTTACTGCATTGAAATAAAATTGTTTTACCATGGTCTTTGCCCAAAAGTTTTTGATGCTAAGAACGGGAGCAGAGATGACGCGGAGGACTCGTAGCACACTCGCATCCCACTCGAGTGGCTTGGGTTCGAGTCCAAAAACCAGGAAGAGTCTGTAATTTCTCTTTAATTTATCATTATGTAGATGGAGCAATTAGCAGGAGTGATAGAGAACATTCCACAGTTCAGAGATGAGAAGCTTCTGTACGGCAGTCATGGTCGCCAAGAAAAGTCTTTACGTTACACGCAACTTCCTCCTCTCGTGAAGACACCTTTGGTTGGAAAGGATCCCTCTGATCCAGAGAAATTAACAGAGCTAAAAAAAGAAAAGCAAAGAATCATTGATGAATCAGGAGTACCGCAGGTATAGCACTGTATAACTAAATAACAAACTGATGAAAAAAACAAAACAAAAGAAACGAAGCAAACGAAGCAAATTCCCAAATTACCCCGTCGTTTTCAATTCTCTCCTCATTCATTGAATTATGTAGATGTTTATAGGAGATAGGTGTAACATCATTCAATTAGTCAGTTACAACACTGCTAAGACTTAAATGTCAGTACATCTCATTTAAAATCGTGCATTATGCACTTAAGTTATACGATCTAATACTTAAACAAAGTGTGAGTGTCTTAATGCTACCATTTGATTTCATGAAAGTTAAAAAGTTGCTTATAATATAATTTTTTACAACGTTTGCTCTCCCTAACAGGTGAAGTTAGGCATCCAAATCAAGTATTAAATTACAACTATTTTGTAACTTGAATCAAATTTTCCGGCGATACTTAAATATCATACCTAATGATTTTAAAAATGATCATATAGAATTAACATATGATATTTTAAAGTTGATAAATTGAAGTGACAGTCTTTGAATCGCACTCCTCTATCAAGGAAAATTAAATTAATGGATCCAGATGCCTGAAAACTAAATAAATTTCTGTAGTGCATGTACTGTTAAGTTAATTGTGTCACCTTGAATGTAAAATAGGTGACTATATAAAAACGATAGAATTTCTCACGCATCTATCTACTACAGGCGTGGTTGGATAGAATGCAAATGATTGAACTTCAAAAAATAGTTGGTACTAACGACGCTGAACTTAATGAAGATGAAGATACACTAATGCTAAAGGTAAACACCAAAGCAAATAGTTAAAACTAAGGCCTGTACACACTTTACATGTCACCTGTAAACAAAGGTAGATGTTTAATACTTTCAAGAATTTTAAAACAAGCCAGACATTTCCCTGCAAAGAAACAGGATTTTCCAAGTAAGTCTAGGTCTAAACTTGATATAAGAGCCCAACTTTTATAGGAAAGAACGTCATAAAAATGTCCACACCCCTCGCACACAAGTTTATCCGGGTCTTCTCGACATCAAGCCAACAAGAGTATGATTACTCTCCCTGGATGGTATACTTCTCTGTTCAAGGTTACCCTGAGTCATTTCGGCCGGCCTCCTTGACAATTTGCCGTTATTGACGTATGCTTTAGGGTATAGAGGCAGGCCTTACAACTTCACACAATCACCAGCTTGAAAGCCGAATTCTAACGGGATAACGACAGTCTAAGTCAAAGCTGATTCTCAGGCCCACTCATGTAGACGAGAAGTTGTAACTGCTGTATGTGCTATTTTATAACCAATTTAGGCAAACGTAGAAAGATGGAGAAATAAAATGCTGCATCGAGAGAAACTCCGTCAAGACATGAGGGAAAAAGAACGAGAAAAGGATAAAAAGTTGAAGAGACTGGAAAAAGAAGAAAGACTGGAACCGGATAAAGAAAAATCAGAGGTCTCGAAATCTCTAAATTTATTTTCATGATATTTTAAGTCATAGGTGGTAGATAGTAAATGCTTGTGGCTTTATGGCTCACAAAGTGGGAACGCAACGTCCCCGAAAATGAGATAAATTTTAGCTTGCACAAAGCTCCATCAAATTTACCTTGCGAGGGCTGTTCTTGCGCTGGTTACGCAATACCAGTCACTTACTGAAAGAAATAGTGGATAATAAATTATGAATTTTACATGTGCCAAACTATCTGTCATTAATGACGAGGTGAAGGCGTCCCCATAAATCGAGTCCCAGAGCAAGCTGTAAGGTGCCACAAATTCTGCCCCTAAAAGTTTGTGTATGGCATCAAAGCCTTATGATAAGACTTACTCGACGGTATGCGCTTCTTTTACAGGACCGTCCAACAACACCTCGAAGTCTTACAGCAGAGTAAGTCACAGTTCTGTTGTTTATCGTTATGTAGAACTCTATTACCTGTGGGCTGAATAAGTGATACCGGTAAATTTTCAGTCTTAAAACGTACCCAATGACAATTGATTTTCACAGACGTAAGCGAAGATCTCGTGTAGACCGTTGGCGAAAAAACAAAGTTGGAACCTCAAGCTCGAAGGGCACGAGCAGTAGCAGCAGCAGCAGCAGTAGTGATTCAGAGGAAAAGAAGAAAGACGAGGAAGCCGAAGAAAAAAAGAGGAAACAGAAGGAAAAAGAGAAAAGAAGGAAAGCAAAGGTATTCCTAAACTTGCAGATTTAAGTCAAGCCATTAGATCTATTTCCTTAGGTGTTATTATCACATTTTAACTTTTGTTCCTCTTTTAAATAATACTGATTTCTTGGATCACCGTTTCGTCAAGACCAAAAACTTTGCCTATCGTAATTGCTAGTCTTCTCATCAATCATCGTTTCATCACTAGGTGCCGCCTCTCGCGATTGGCCAAGCTGCTCGAGAGGCAGCACGAGAAACAGCTTGGACAATCAGAGAAACTCCTGGTGTTCGCCTCGTGTCTGTCAGGCCGCACAATGAGGTAAACTTGCGCCCGAACTAAACATACTTTTTTACAGGTTTCAGTGGTCATTTTAATCAGTGATCATTCTTTGTTCTAATATTTCCTTCAACAGAAGTTACGTTGGATGGTTCTAGGACACAAATGGCTATTGTGTTCCGTTGTTTGAATAAGGACACCTCTTTCAGAGGTGTCTATTTTGAAAAACGAACAAGCCATTTTTGTAGCAATAACGAAAAAACAAACAAACTAAAAACAAGAATGAGAAACCAGTTTTTTCAAAGCAAAAAGCGCTAACTCAGGTTAAAAGATAAACATATATAGCATCATCATTATCATTTATTTGCCTTTTTTAACAATAACAAAAAAAATTAAATTTACAGCATTATAATCGTAAGGCGAGGAGACGTCAAGAAACCACCGGATTTATAAAAGAGGCCACTCAACTTGGAGCAATTTATTTAACGACTGCGAATACTGAGTTATCTTTTCCATTTTTCTTGTTCAAAAATTGGTAGCTAGTCTTTAATTGTCCGTCATTTTGTCTCCTTCTCGCCTCCATCATTTTTATTGAAAAACTATTTTATTCATCCATTCAAATGCAACAGGGATGGCAACCACAAGCACCTGAGTCCACGCCCACGCCGGTGTATGAAGTGCCTCAGACACATCAGGTAGGTGGTGAAGGACAATCCTCCTTGACGATGAAACCGGACATTAAATTTGAATCATTAATTAAACTGATATAGTTTGTACAATTTTATTAGGATTACCATTATAATTGCTACGTTTTTAAATTGAGTTTGATCAGAGAAGTGGCTTGAAAACCAAAGGAAAATATATATTTCCAAAGCTCAAGTCATGATTCGTTACTTTTTAACTGTTCATTTTCGCCAGGTTTCGCCCCGCCGTCAGCAAAGAGATCGAGTCCATTATCTGCTGGAAACAGGGTACCCAGTCTGGCCCCTGATGACAACTCCTCTTGTACAACCCGAATATCCAGAGGAAGAGGTTCAGTACGAGGATATGGAAGGTGGGTTGGGAATAAGAATTAAACAATGAGAAGAGCCTGTAACCACATACTAAACAGTAATTTTCAGAAAATTGGTTGTCATTCTTTCGCTTGTTCACTCCCGCGATTTAAAAGAAATCTAGAATACTGGACAGAATAGAAAAGCATCAAACCTGAAGGAAGTTGAAAGTAAAAACACGTCACTGTGGCACCATTTATGTTGGTTTAAAGGGTAATCTGTAGCTCTAAATGTAATATCTATTTTATCCGAGCTTGTAACTCAAAAACACTCAAGTTTGTTACCAAAATACTCAATGGAGTATTTTGTTTGTATGATCCCCCATAAGGCTCTCAATCATTCTTATGATACGTTCCCCCTGTCATTGGCAGTTAATCAGTGATCAGTTTTCTATATCCCCTTCTTTATATTCTGTTGGCAACGACTGATCCCCCCCTCTCCGTCCCCAAAATCAATCATAACAAGAGAAGTGAAGGCTTTTGTTTGTCTGGATTAGGTTTGGATCCATATATTCCTCAGTATGATCAAGAAATACATGTTAATGGAGACACCATCCCAAGCGTTCGCCCACCAGAACCACGGGAAGCCTTTGGTGACTCAAACTTTTACGACGACGAAGAACACATTTACACAGAACCAAATTTAACTCCTGCGTCACTTCCCCATACACGCCTTGTGAACCCTCGTCAAAATCAAACACGTCCACTGATTCCTACACAGTATGCACATGGATATGTGGCAAGGCCGGCAGTGTCTAGAGGCCGTCCAACGTCCGCTTCACAACAGCCCGGAGCTTCCAGGTCTGTTGGATTGGGAAGGCCAACTTCCGCCAGGACAGACCCTGCAATGCCTCGTTATGCACCTTCACCACTGCGCTCGTCGCCGCCCAATCGCAATGTGGTTTCGTTACCGGTACGTTTCAGCCCCCTTTCTATAGTGTTCAAGTTAAATATTGGATGATTATTCAGACAGAACTCAGGATTTACCGTTTTTCTTATTCGATGTGATAATTATTTTCCACGTTTTGCAGGGTTCCAGATACTTGCCAGGTAATCGTCCTACAGTCGCCAACGCAGCTCAACCCAGCATTGGTACGTCTCCGCGTTACATGGTTGATCCTGAACGGAGACAGGAACCTCCCAGCTCCTTCGACAGTGCGCGTATGATCCTAGCTAGAGCTAAATCGAACCTCGACCGTTTCGAAGAAGACAGTAGAATCAACGACTCACGTGAAACCGGTCCACCACCTACTTCAGAGCTTGTACATTCCACACCGCAAAAGAAGATACAGCCTCACGCTCAACCAGTCAGAGGGCAAAGTCGATTTCCATCGCAGCAGGAAGTTTATCCTATTCGTAACTCCCGAATGGAGGTGTCTGCAAGGGAACGTGCTGAGCTGGAGGCGCAACTGCTGGTGTCTCGCGCTTTAGCTCGGGCCAGAGCAAACGTAAGAACTTAGCATTCATTCACTGCAGTTACTATCAATCTGGCCAACTAGGAAGGCACTCGCATTTTCTCATCTTACAGGCCTATGCTCACATTGCAGCTCCAACAAGGAGTTGCTTTGGTGTATCGTTGAATTGCTTTTTAAAGAATCAGACAGTTGTGAGAGTGAATTGAGAAGTTCACAGCGCAAACAAACCTATTTAAAAATTTTCCGTATAGCTGTTTCAATTGCCATAGCCATGACATGGCGACGGAAAAACGGAAAAATCAAACTCCCTTCTAGTGTACGGTCTACTTCAGGTTTAGATATTTTAAACTGCAGCATATAATCTCTTGTCCAAGTCTGCTGTGTTCTATGAAACGCTTGCAAATCAACTAGTAGGATGGAAAAATTGTAGTCGACCATGTAAAGTTTTATCAGATATATTTTGTAAGGTATTTGCTTCATGGATAATAGACCTCATTAGTTTTAATGCCCTTCTAGATATCCATGATGATACTCGAGGTTCGTTTTTTTTTCTTCTCAAAATTATTCGTATTTAAAGGAAGGGTAAAACCTGTTGAGTATTTCATGTGATCTCAAAATGCAATAAGCGAACAGCACTGATAGGGGTTATTTTGATTTTGCTACATTTGAATTGGTTGGGTACCCTGTTATTTGTTTGTGTTATGTTTCTCATTATGGGAATGTTTAGTACTGCTGACATTTAAATGCAAGTCCATGTTGATGTTAGTGTAAGCTTATTGTTCAAGATAAAAAATGTAAGTGATATAGTAAATATTACAGCTGTAAATTTCTTAATATGCCATCCAGTCTTCTTGTGAATAAGATGAAGGAAATGAATATTTGCAGACGAAAAGCCTGTTTATATATAAAAACTCCTATGTCTAAAGATATTTTATTGTTCATAACATTGATTAAAATAAGTTGTATAATATGTATGATTAACTTTAAGAAAACAAAGTGGATACAAATAAACTTTTATAATTTGAATGGTGAATTTGGTGACCATATTTTCATCTTCCGAAGGAGAGCAGGAAACTCACGACCCATAGAGATGAAGACTGGTTGTTCAGAAGTTTACTAATTAATTCTAACCGGATGTTTATCATCGCATTCTATCTTTCCTAATGTCCTAACCATAGTATTCTTTGTAATCCATAAGTTTTAATTGCCTCTTTTAATCAGTCGTCACATGCTGTTGAGAAAGAAGTTATCATTACGCCCCATTGCGTATTATCATAATCTAGCCATTATAACAGTTGCCGGACTAACCCTGATTAATCAGTGGAGAAAGTAATCAATCTTCTTAATTTTTTAACATTTTAATGTCTGATGTAATCAGTTAATATCATTCTAAGTTTCAAGCACTAATAAAAAAAAGCCTAACTTGCTAAATTAGAGTAAAACTCAAAGATGAAAAGCGAAACGTCTAAAGCTGCTTTTAAGGTGAGATGACATACAAGCTTAAGATTTGTGATGTCCAATTGGTTATTTATTATTTTTACGAAATTCGTGAAAATGAGCAACCACAATAGAAAGGTAATTTACTTTTGGAATGGGTTCAATTCAGTTTTTTTGTAAATAAAATAATATTGTCCTTACTCTGTTCTTTTCCGTTCACAAAGTAAAGGCTGTTCGTTATCCTTTTGGTACTATTATCTCTGATTTTAATTATTATTTATTTACAGAAAATGACGACTGCAAAACAACAAGGAAGCACCTTGTAAGTAACTCTGATTTGATTCCATTTTAGTCGGCTGTTTTATATGTAGCTCACTGGTTGTGTTTTCGAGAAGACGCAGCATTTTTGTGACGCGACCGTCCGAGTAAAAAAACTCTATTAATATCTCTGATGATTTTTATTGCCAACGTAAACGTTTTTGGATTCTCTTACTGAAAAATATATATCTTAACAGACGTTTTTTGTCTGAGTATTTTTACGAGTTGCGATACTAAACACCAAAACGTGTAATAAATTCTCTATTGTCCAACTGCTTTTTTTTCTGCTAAGTCTTTCTGCTCGTTCTTCATAAGGCGGGAAAAGCCAAGCGGATAGAAAAGCGTAGCGCACGCAGCCGACTGGCTAAACAAGTGTTTTTTTACAGTACAAATAACCAACTGTCGAAATAACCGTACAATATCGCAGGATAGTTTGTATTCTAGTATTTACATTCTACTTTGTGCAGTTCGATAATAGATACGAGATTGACCATTTATTGAATTGTACATCCGGTTCGTCTATGTACGCGTGACTTACTCCACACTTTTATTCTTGTTTACTGCTTACTTCAGAGGGTTCCCCCAACATATATCAGACTTTTCAGTAAGTTAGTTAACGATAATTCTCTCACGAATGAAACTGTCCCCTCTACGTTGTGTTCGCCCTGCTCTCCTCCTTTACGTCTTGCGCATGCGTCAGCTGGCTTAAAAGGAAATCTTTTGAGATGTTCTTTCATTGTTATTTCTTGCAGAAGTATGCTTGATCTTGTCAAAAAACGTATCACCCATCATGCAGTCAAACCGAAATACAAGAAAAAGACCAACAAAGATAGCAGTAGCAGCAGTAGCAGCAGTTCAAGTAGTTCAGTAGAGTCTAAAAAGAAAGACAGCAAATCTAAAGATAAAATGAAAAAGAAGCCATTCGGCAAACAAGCCATTGTGCGGCCTCTTCCGTCTACGCCTCCTGGTGCTCAAACAAAGATTTGTCTATAGTTACAGAATATCCACCTATGATAGATAAGATAAAGAATATAATGCTAAGTTTAGAGAAAAATGGATATTATGAGGCAAAAATATAATTATTATAGACGAGCTATTTGTTTATGCATTACGTCGTTCATCTGTTGGCTTCTAGCTTTGTGCCTCTAGTTTGAAAAATCGATCATGGATAAAAGTTCTATCTTCCATCTCCTGCACCCTTAAAGGAAAGCTAAAAGGGTGTTAACCTGTGTTTTGTTATTGTTGTTGTTTTTTTCTCAATGTCCGTGCTCGTTCTGAAAACAACTTTTACAGCGGCTTCCTCTGTTAAGTTACCCTCTTCCCCTACAGGAAAGAGTTGTAGCAAATGCGGTCTTTGGCAGAGAGGTAAATTGTGGAGTATAGACTATTAAATATTTACCCTTGACTGCACGATACCTTAAGTGTTTCCTTTTCCTTTTCAGAATCCATTAGGTACTCCATACATAGGCGTTTAAACTCTCTATTTGTCAACTCATGATCGTGGATACAATTGGGCTAACACATACATACTTTATTTTGTAACATAAGAAAAAACTACAAGTGCTTTTTGTGAAAACCTTTATTTTTACTGACGAGACTGTGTAACACAACCACAAAAATATCTTAGCAGTGAATAATTACTGCAAGAAGACGTGTCATCAAATGAGAGTCTATATCTATTAAGAGTTTCAACCATGGCCAAACGAAAATGAAAATTTAATCTTCAGGCATTTTCTGCCCCATATTTTTCCATTGCATCGGAGTGAACACGCTTTGACCTTTGATCTTTGACGCAAACCAATCTCCAAACACCCAGCCCCTCCACACTTGGGCGGCACCCCCTGATCGTCCGCAGCACAGCACCATGAATACACTCTCTAGAGTGAGGAACGGATAATAGACATTCTGAGTAATTTCTAAATGTTCGACCTTCAACCTAGCTAGAAGGAAAAACCAGGCCGGTTTGTGTTTTTATGAATTTTTTTCATTATTGTTCAAACTATCATCTGTGCCTTAGACAATGAATATGGCTCGATCAATTGTAAAACTGTAAACAGCGTATTTGCATGATGACAGAGAATGGTAGTAATCTATTGACCCAGTAAATCTTTAAGTTTTTACACCTCGCTTAAGTACAATCCAAATTTTTTATGACCATTACTTTGTAATCCATTTAAAAAAGGTCAACATCTAATTGCCAAATTTTTCATCCCCCCGCAGAACGATTACGTCACATTGATGCCGAATACTTACTGTTAACGTTGTAAGGTTTCATCGCTTTCCCCTCATGTTTGAGCTTTAGGTTGTCAGCAATGTACTTTCCTTGTGTCTCAGCTCCATACGCCAGCTTGATCTCTGGAACATCGTTACAGTCCCCGATCGCGTACACATCCGGAACATCTTTCACTTGGAGAAAGTCATCGACATTTAGACGACCAAGTCGATTCATTTTATCTCCTGTAATCAAAGGCAAAGTATTTTGGCCTTATTCACTTATTTATTGCGTTTAATCCCCAGTGTGTGTATCCATTTACAAGAGCTTCATCTAGTCATGTGGTGTTTTTTTCCAGTTAAATGCAGTGGAGTACAGTAACTGGCGTTTTTACAACCTGAGCACAAATCATCATAGAAACATCTAGAGTCCTGTTAAGTCGCCGAAACGTACGTCAGAGTCTGTCACCAACAACTGTCCTCGGATAATCAGACTACACGATCGAATGAATCACGTATACTGTTCTGTTATATTGATCACGACCGGTTAACCTCGTGGTCTTCCACTACATGTACATGAGTTCCTTCTTAAGTCAATTGCGGACGTTATCAGTTCACCAATATTCGCCAATAAAATAAGACTGACCTAGACTTTTCCTGTAAGCTTCGGTGTTCACTTTTAGACCAGTGCAAGGAATGACCAGGTCTACTTTCATTTGCCTCCCTTTATCGGTGACTAGCATGACGTTTTGATATCCCTTTTCTTTTACTTCGTCCATATTCATCACTCGCTCCCCTACATGGCAAAAGATAAATCATGTTTGCTAGAACCAAGAAGAAGTATCCAACTCATTAATATTAAGCAGACGAGTTGACAGGTAAGCTGTCATTAAGCTAGCCAGTCAGCCACCAACCAGCTTTATAGACAGACAGACGAACAGACCTTACAGATAGATTAACTGACTGACAGGTTGTTAGACAGGCAGGCAGGCAGACAGAAGAGCGGACAGATAGACAGACTGGCAAACAGAAAGACATTAGACAGAGGCTGAGAGACAGAACGGCATAGACAGACAAGGGTAGACACACACTGCCTAAGTTCCCTGTCCCCTACATTCTTGCAACGTTTTTGTGAGTGTTGTTATTTTCATTTTTTATTCTTTGTAAGATCGAGTAGGAAAAGACTGAGAGAGTTAACATAAACAAACTGTATAGCATAAATGTAGCAGCGACATACCAAGAAACATGGTGACCCCTAAACTTTCAAGCTTTGCCTTGATCGTGGACTGAAAGGTCTCGTTAACTTCATCATTGACTAGATTTTCCCTGGGATGTATGAGATACACATCGGCCTTGTCTTTGTAATCCTCCATGATGTCTCCAGCTATTTCCACTCCAACAGCTCCCCCACCTACAACCCCGATCTTCATGGCGTCTTTTACCTGAATAGCAGCAAAGAATATACGAGGATTGAAGCTTAGAAGGTAAGGACTGACTGTATTGTGCATCTTGATTTAACTGTGAATGTTCAAAAATTGCAATCCACACTAATCTTGTTCATCCTTATATGTTTGACTCCCTTTTCAAACAAGCAGTAAATAGCAATAAGGCCTAAATCGGACATTCCGCATCGTCTGAGCTTCATTCTCTCGTGGTAACACTTACTAGCTTGGTATACTTCTCGTAACGCTGAATGGCTTTGTCCTTGTTTGTATCCAAAGCAATTTTCGCAGGAAATGGGCCACCAGTGCCAGTTGCAAGTACGAGGTCATCATAAGCAATTTTCTCTCCAGTTTCCAGCATTATCGTCTTCATGGATAGATCAATATCAACGACTTTCCCTTGCTTGAAGCTTTTGCCAAATGTTGGTCCGTAGGGAATGAAACACTTTTTGGCAAACCCTGTGTTGAAGCAATGTTT